GGCAGCATTAAAACACTCCGACTAATGAGCATTTGCCGGGCTAAGCATTAGGAAACTGCAACTTGAAACTAGAAGCAAACCCGAGCGGACCCTGCAGTCTCTCGTCATAGTAGTCGTATGGCGCAGCCTACCAGCGCAGTGAGCCGTGCGGCACAGCCTAACAGCGCAGTGAGCCGTGCGGCACAGCCTACCAGCGCAGTGAGCCGTGCGGCACAGCCTACCAGCGCAGTGAGCCGTGCGGCACAGCCTAACAGCGCAGTGAGCCGTGCGGCGCAGCCTACCAGCGCAGTGAGCCGTGCGGTTCAGCCTACCGACGGGCCGTCCAGTAGGTATGGTTCGGACGACGTGTGCTGTATGATTTGTCCTTACTCCTTAGTTATGCGTGTTATTGGTATGTTGAACATGCGGGTCTATATAAAGGTACTTTGAATTTCATCATTTTATTCCCATTTGTTTACGCACAAAAATGAACAGACAATAAATGAACAGAAACAAAACCCAGTGAACAACCAACACAGAATTAACTTTCATTGCAATTCAGCCGTCAACGTAGTTATGTGATCGAACGCGGTAAACCTGTGCAGGTCAAACTATACATTGCATAGTCACAGGCTACTATGGTATAGCTTAACATAATTGCATCAGACTACTACCATGCGACCGACATTCTTTCCAACTTCTCTCGTGCGACGTAAGGCAAAACGTGGTCTCATGTCTCTCCAGCGCGATCGGCTAGAGTCACGAAACAATCACACACGGTTTCTGGTTCGAAGAATGTAATATGACACACGGTTTTGTGAGGCATAACATATGCGGATTATGCGCCGCACAAAATTGTGCGCAATAGCAGTCCTTAGACATCGAAAGTGGTGTACCAAAGCACGAATTAGTTCTTTTGAGATAGGTATATTGGTAACTTGTAACGGCACCAGTGCAGAACTGAGAACACGAACATGAACTGAAGTCATCCATCATTTGTACTTGCAGATATCCGCTTAGCTAAAAGCTCTAAAAGCTGAAACACTACAAAACTGCAGGGAATACAGTTCAGAGGTACAAGAAGTGATGATTCGTTGTGAAGCTCAGCTGTGAAGATTGGTATGGTGATTAGTACGGCAGCCTGCCGTCGGCAGTGTCCACCGGTCGACTCCGATAAGTGTGGTCAGTCCGCCGGGAAGGTGACGCCGTCAGCACGGTGCGGCCGTTCGACACTGACCGGCTCAATACATCGACCGCTCTAATGGCGAGCGATACCCTCCGGCCGGGCCGTGTCACCGGCAGCGCGAGCAGACGGTGACGCATACACCGGCCGGTGATTGATGGCACCGCGCAGCGGCGGCGGCGCTAAACATATTCCCTTGCTACACGTTATGTGCTGTTTAATTACAGAGATCAATGGTAATCCATAGCGAAGATTTCTCCATCCGTATGATGCGACTAACATTTTAACGCTTCGGGTTCCATTGGATCCAGCTGCTTTTAGCCTGTGCAGGTCGTCAGTGAAGTATCGAGGTCACCAGGGAGTTCTGTTTTTGAGAGTCCTTTTGGCGCTGACTGGCTGACTGACATCACCCATGATCGAATGGAAGTGAGCGCCATTGCTGCGGAATATATCACCGAAACCGTACCTCCCCGTTAATTCCGCCCGCTTATCATTCCGCCGAACTGCTGACATTTACGCGAGAAATACGAGTGAGCACGACCTACGGCAAGCGCTGTGGCAGCGAGGCACGGAAGCTCGTTTCCTGGGTAATGCCGTTTTCGTGATCACTTTAGCTCATAATGCGATCCCTAACCGTATTCTGGGCCCGCTTCTGAGAACACCGAGTCAACTGCACGCTCTATGTCGGCACCCGGGGTGGCCCGGCCCGAGAGAGGCGGCGGCCCAGCGTCCGGCGTCCGGCCGACCCGGTTACGGCCCCGCCAGTCGACGGTTGTCATGGAGACGGTCACGTGACCGGCGGCGGGCGCCATCTCCGCCGCCATCCGACGGCCGTCGTTACGACCCCCCCCCCCCCCCCGCGGCCGTCTGACCCCCCCCCCCCCCCCGGCCGGGTCCGAACTCGGCGCGAGGGGCGATTCTCAGTCGCACCACGTGCCCGGTCAGCGTCCGGTCAGAGCCGGATGACTGAGGGGCACTAACCGGCACCGAGCAGCAGTAGGGACCCGTGGAGCACCGGATGACTGAGGGGCACTTTACTGGCACCGAACAGCAGCAGGGACCCGTGGAGCGCCGGATGACTGAGGGGCACTAACCGGCACCGAGCTGCAGTAGGGACCCGTGGAGCGCCGGGTGACTGAGGGGCACTAACCGGCACCGAGCTGCAGCGTCGAGCAGGTCAGCGCCAGATGACTGAGAGGCCAGAGGCCAGTAACCGGCAGCGGCCACCAGTGCAGCTGTAGCAGGGTACCGGGCAGCATCAGAGGGCAGGGCACTGAGCCGCGACCGTGATCCACGCAGCATTAGCCATGAGCTGGAAGAGGGGCCGCTTCAACTGGAACGCTTGCAACCTCTTCCCCCCCCCAAAAAAAAAACATAGAAAATTACAAATGTCGACAAAAACTTGTTTTGCGCAGGGCTTGTAAAGGGTTCGCAGTGCATACGATGCTATTAATACGGGCCTAGCGTTTTACTAGCTATAAAAATGAAATGTACGACAGTCATATCGTTGCCAAAAATTGTTGATGGTATTCCTTCCCTTCGACAGCCTGATATCTGATTGCCGATGGGGTCGCCTATCGGCAGAGCACTGGTCAGGATCCACCCGTTCCATCTTCATCGCTCTCCGGCCTGTCTCATGGTATTCACATCGTCTTCATGTCTCCATCAGTCTCCCTCCCCTGCACCCATTTCCCCGCCCCGTCCACCCGGCTGCTCTGAGGTCACCGGGGGCTCGCGGGAGGGGGGGGCAGATGCCGTCGCCGGACGTCCGGCCGCCGCCGCCGGAACTGACCGGAAGTGGCACCGGAAGTGGGCGGCCGCGGCCGGCGGGGTGATGAGGGAGCGGGCATCTGGGGCACGGGGTGGTGGAGGAAGGTGGGGACTGATGAACTGGAACGGGTGCATGGGTTGTGGGCGGAGGATAATAGTGTGTGAGTGATTTGACATGAGAACCCTTTCAGGCAGGACTGTTTTAGTTCTTCGCTTGATTTAAGTTTTGCTGATCACGCGAAACTGTGAAATTTGATCTTTGGTTCTGACTTCTGGACATCCCTTTCAACTATCATCCGCCAGTGGGTCAGGGGTCAGCTCTCGCTCTCGAGGCACTCACCAGTTTCTCGCCACCATAGGATAGGGAGGAGCCACCCTATATTGCCTGTCTGTATGTGGAAGGAGGCTGAGCAATAATGTTGATATATGTGCGGCCCCGAGATCAGAGATATTGCCGCGTTTCTCGACAGAAAGCCAATATATGGAGCATGTGATTCGGTGGATAATGCAAGAAAAACTATAAAGACAATACATTCCGTCAGTCAGGAGATAATATCCATTTTTCACCTCTTAATGCATTCATAATTTCCCCAGATCTAATTTACACACATCCATGCAGTCGCTTATTTCTGCAACAGTGAACTCCATCCCAGCCATAAGTGGCAGCCACGCCTCATTGGTTTCGTGCTGTGGGTTCGGGATTGGCTTCCAAGAAAGCTTGGAAAAAAACGCCATGTGATCAGTAGCCGTCTTTAGTTCGCATATCATTCTGGCAACGTGCGGAGTTTAAAGCAGTGTCCACTTGCTAGAGCTTCCTACGGAGCTTGTTTTCCTGTTTTCTTTTGGTCCGTCTCCGCCCGTCCTCCGTCCGTCTTTCACCCGTCCTCTGTGGTCCGTCTGTCTCCAAACAGACGGAAGGGCGTCTGTCCTCCGTACGTCTTTCACCCGTGCTCTGTGTTCCGTCTGTCTCAGAACAGACGGAAGAGTGTCCGTCCTCCGTACGTCTTTCACCCGTGCTCTGTGGTCCGTCTGTCTCAAAACATACGGGCGTCCGTCCGACACCCGTCCCTCCTCCGCCTCCAGTCCATAGAGTTCCTCTTTCATCCTCCGTCAGTCCCATAAGTTCTTTAGCCGCCGCTGCCCGACCTCTGCAGTCTGCTATATTCCAACTACCCACGCCAGCTCTGACCCCGCCTGCCGGCCAGTTTTTGTGGCTGCTGTGTTTCTGAGTTCGACCTGCATGCCCCAGCCCCGCTCTGTCCGTCTCTCGGCACACTTTCCGTCCGAGGCGCATCATTAGCCCTCCCCCCGTCGCGCCACCCGTCGGCGGCGATGATGACGTCCTGACGGTGACGGCGGCCCCGGTGTCGGCGGCGCCAATGTCTGACCGGCGGCAGACACCGTTAGACTCGCCGGCGGCCGACGGAGGAACACGCGAGCTGTGTGGGACGGGAGAGGAGCACGGGGCGGGTAGGGGAACCAGCAGCCTGCGGGCGGGGGCGGCGCAAATGACCGCCGGCGCCAGCCGCTAATCACGCGTTGTTGGCCGGTCCTCTCTGCCGGCGCCCGAACACAGGATTAGTGTGCGTAGCGACGGGACGCGCGGCGGACGCGGCGCGCCGCGGCGATCGATGGCGCACCGGTGGCGAGCAGCGGCGCATCGGCGGCGAGCAGCGGCGCTCGATGACCAGCCGGGTGACCCGACATGCCCGCGGGGCGCGGGCATCGTCCGACGGCCGCTGTCTACCGGGACGGCCGTGTCGTGTCATCGGCCCGGCCTCTGATCGTTCTTCTGACTCAAGGGACGTCCTTCTGACTCAGGGGACGTCCTCCTGACTCCTTACGTCCTCCTGACTCGGGGGACGTCCCTCGACCCCTCGCTGACTCAATGGCCAGTCCTTACTATCCCCATGACTCAGGAGCCGGCCCTCGACCTCACACCACTCCACCACCTCGCGTAAGGACGTCGGTCATCGAGTCGGTCGCTCGCTCCGACGGCGCTCGGCGGTGCGGCGCTCCCGCTCTCTGCCCGCTCTGCCACCGCCCCACTACACTCACACGCTGACGCTCACGCACGCCGGGCGCCGCGCGGGCTGGCGGGCCGGTGTCGGCCGGACCGCGCCGCGCGAGCTGCTCGCTCCGGCCGGCCAGTCGATGTGATCAATGGCTGGTGGGCCGGGCCGCCGACTGATGCTGGCTATTTGTCGGCCGGCGGAGGCCGCGGAGCGTAGACAATGCGGCTGCGGTGTGACGTGGAGCGCAGACAATGTGGCCGACCCGACAGACAGGCACACAGACACACAGTGGCAGGGTGGCCTGTGCACTCAGAGAAACAGACAGAATGCTGGGATAAATAGCTGTAAAGGGGGATAATACAATGATAAATTGCTTTCGCTTGTTGTCTGTTTCCGAAATCAGCTAGTTTATGCGTATGAGACTCCATGACTCCATGAGTTTTTTTTCCAAAAATGTCTTTAGTGGGTAACAACCAGAGCTGGGCAAGTGCGTTCCTTTAGTGCGTTCCTGCGTTCTTCCGTACGTACGCACCGCCCTTTTTAGGAAAGCAGGAACGCAGGAACGCAAAGTTTTTCAAAGGAACGCAAGTAAGAGGAACGCACCACCCGAAATTTTGAAGCGTTCGATTCGCCCCGTGTTTGGTTGGGCCCGCGCCGCGTGGTTCGGCGGTATTTTTGAGGGAGGAACGCAGGAACGCAGGAACGCTAACGCACCGAACGAAAAAAAAAATTGAGGAACGCTATTCCAGGAACGCACTTACCACGGCCGGAGGAACGCAGGAACGCTAACGCACTACCGAAAATCGAGGAACGCGCCCAGCTCTGGTAACAACCTAGTTACAACCAGCTTCTGGTAAAACGCCCCGGACCATTACTGGTCACATGTTTTAACCCTCGCCCGCACATGGGGGGGGGTTGCCACCCCCCCAGGCAGTCTTTCTGCTCTGCACTCAACAGTTTTAGAGCTAGAAGGCTGATTTTTCGTATAGCTGCTCGTCTATCCTTTCTTGATGTCCACTGAAAATTTCAAGTTTCTGTGATTTTTGGTTTCGGAGATATGACCTTGTTTTTCAGGTCATGTCATGACCCAAATGGCCAATTCTCAACATCTTGCGTTTGCCATGGGCCTTGTGAGCTTTTGACACCCTGATTTCGGCCTTTTTTGCCAGTCTTACCTCCCACCTATCATGGAACATGTTGTTCGACGATGTACAGGGGTCAAAGGTCAGGGTCAAGGTCAACCTAGGTCATCTAAGATAATTGCGTTTTAGGCAAGCTGAATTTACTTTTTGTGAAGTTTTTTTGGCTGCATTTTTGGTAAAAGCTTCTCAGATCATGATTTCATGTGATATGGACCCAAAAACAATCGGTGCACACATCAGTATACACACAGACACACACAGACATACAAACACATATAATTGACCTTGACCTAACTTGAACTGAAATGACCTCAGCAGCAAAATTCTGGTCGGATAGTGTGACAAAGAGGTTCTAGCTGGCTTGGCACCAGAAAACAGCATCGTCATCGGTATTTGATAAGCAGCGCACTTGATATCCAACGGTGACCCAAAACAGCAACATTTTTTAGTTTGACCTGACCTGGAAGGTCAATGACTGACCTGAGAAGGTAAAACTGGGTATCATTGGATTTGTCTCTTCCCAAAGAATCTTTTTGGTCTTTACTGCTAAGCTCTATCTCCAACAGGAACGAAATGGCGCGGGGGGGTGGCAACCCCCCCCCCCCCCCCATGTGCGTTCTAGGATGGGAAAATGGCATGTGCGGGCGAGGGTTAACGCCGCGGTTCAAAGCACGACTCGTCTCAAAGTGCGAGCCACGATTGATCTAATCGCACTTTATGTGGAACATGACCCAGACTCGGCTTCTCCGCAGGATGGCAATGATCAGCCCGTGGACATGGGACGATCTCCGCGGCACAACCACCAGCAGGAGCAGGAGCAGCAGCAGCAGCAGCAGCAGCAGCAGGCCGGACCGCAGCCCGGCCCCAGCGGAATGCCGCAGATGGTCGTCCAAAAGGATTTCAGGAAGGTGGGTCCCACGCTGTCGAACAGTTCAGTGGAAGTGGTTAGGTTGGCAAATGCTGTCTGGTGCAACTTCCAAACTCCAAAGAATCAGTGTTCATAGCACGAAAAGGGAATAGGTCTGACGAGGTTTAGCCCTCTTATGTGTTGGGGGGGGGGGGTCGGATGGACCCCTCATGGTTTTTCGCGAATAACTTGCGCAAAAAGCGGCCGATCACGACGAAACTTTCAGTACCCTCGAGTTGATCAATTTTACACCTACACTGACAATTTCATGACCCTGACCCAAGTTACACCTGTGACCTATTTCTCGAGGCCATGTTTGGCCGGAATCGCGATTCGGCGTGTGTCGGCTCGCATTAGCCGCGCGTTTGCAAGCTTCTCGTGGTTTCAAACGTTCAAATATGTGATTTGATGTTGCTCCCAAGCATTTGGATGGATGTCAATGTCACTTGAAGGTCAGGTCAGGTCATTGACCTTTGGTGACCTCGGTTCACTTTTTAAAGCTTTACATGTTTCGAGGCTAGTCTTTTTTAGCTGAATTCGAGTTTAGAAACTATTTGAACATTAACAAAGTAGTTTTGGGGCCTTCGTAACATGTTACGAAGCTGTCAGAGGAGGTTGACACGTACTACGAATACCCGTCACGACCCCTACTGGTTGACCTGACCTGACCTGACCCAACCTGGTCTAAATGCTTAAAGACATCATTTGTGATCAAAACTAACACGATATTCGTGATCAGCACCACGAAAAACCTCTTAGCAGCCACACTTTACGACTTTCTAACAGGTCCCGATTTTCCCGACTTTGGGTCATTGACCTGACCTGGAAGGTCAACTAATGACCTAGGATCTTAAAATTGGGTATCATCGGCTTCCTCTCGGCACGGGCAACACGCTCGTTTTTTTTTCTGCGAAGCTCTAGCTCAATCAGGGGCCAAACGGCAAGGCGGGGGCCCAACCGACCCCCCCTACACATTAGAAGCTGGCAAACGCCGCACACATGGGAGGGTTAACCAAGCTAACTAATCACATGAATAGGTATAGTTCCCAAAACTTATTTTAACTCTAACAAATTGTACATAGACACAAACGGTACACAATTGCATAAAATAGTCGAGCAGAATCAGACTACACAATGCAAGTGCGATGCTATAAAACCGATAAAGTATACTCCGAGGGTCTACCGACAAACCAGTCGAAAGCCATTCATCATCCTTCTACAACCGGCCAAGTCATTAATTTGCCTGTACTTGCATGAGGTGCATAAAACTGTGATAAATGGTTAACGAATGAAATCCAGACACCGAGCTTGACTTTTAGCACTTCACAATATAAATTACGAAATGCGCTTTTGATAGTTTAGTATAACTATGAAGGCTGTCATTCGATCTTAACGTTTGGAAAGTAAGTTGAAATGCTAATAAAATTGCATGATATCTTAGGTCAGTGTAAGAGGTATAAAAGCAATCATAGACCATTACATAAGTAATAAGTATCCATAAAGACCACAAATATTTGTGAGTGTTCTATGATTCAAATTTCAAGCTATTGACATGCACGTCTTTCCCTTTGGTTGAGTAAGCTAAAACAAACCGAATAAGCAAACAAAAGGAAGCGGCGTGAGTAGGACGCCGTTTGGAGGCAATACATGCCTACATTCCTTCAATACAATACAATACATTTAAGGTAAACTACATATATATATATATATATATATATATATATATATATATATATATATATATGCAATTCAATACATACCTACAAACCTTTGATAAAAAATGCTAATTTAAATTTCTAGCCAAAAGTAGCAAGGCGATATAAGAGCATTTTCCCAAGATCTGTAACGCCGTACCTCTGACGCTTCTGTCATTTCATTCGTATCCCGGCCCCAACTAGCCGGTAAATTTCCTACGATCTACGTACAATTTGCACAGGTCTGGCAGGGCGTCAGAATAGCTACCCTTCCGGGTGCCTGAAATATGGCGCAATCTTTTTCCCGGGGGATCTCTGGGACTCGAGCTTACTGCTCGCCAGGTCACCGTGCAGTGCGGAGAATGGGACTGTCGGTTTAGTTCAGTAATTAACGGGGCGCTCCCGTTTGACGATGATGAATACATCCAGCTCGCGCGTCATGTTTATGTGGTGAGAAAACAACTAAATGGGAGGCATTTTTCGCACATGTTAAAAGATATTTCCATGTAGTCACCAGGTCACGTATAGTGACCTCTCCTCTAAAAATTAAATACTAGCATTTCTAGCACTTCGTAACGATTGCTTCAAAGTTCAAAGCTTTCATGGGTTGATAAGGAATGGCCGATGCTCCTGAGGTTACGGTTGTTTTCGTGTGTGCACATTTTTTCGGTGTCGTGTTTTTATCATATATTATTCATGATTTATACTTTATCGACTATCGGCTATCACAAACCGTCGGGTGTACATCTGCAGAAAAACATGTCAAGTAAAATAATTCATAGGTTGTATGACACGTTAACATCGGATGTTCAATATTTGCGTACTGTGTTTGATCGTGAAGAATAGATGACTGCTGAGTGCTGATGCAGCATGGAGAGACATTGTACGTAGGTACGAGTATGCACTATGCATGTAATATTCGGAAGATAAATCTCCCGGAATATGCGGATGCCACAAAGGCAGGAGCAGCTGTTTGGGATGCAGATTTGGGCCGCGATATGAGAGCTTCCGTCAGATCACTGAGCAGGTGAATTGGACAGAAACTTTGCCACGTCTATGTAGACGGGTTGCAATGAAAAACTCTGCAGAGAATGTCAGCTGTATCGAATAAGGCCACGATGTCATGGCCTGGGACACTGTCAAACCAGCCAGCTGAAAACAACCATAGAAGATATTATTCTGAGAAGCTCACAGACATGTTGTGTGCGGGAAAGCATGCAGAAATGCAATCTATGCAATAGTATACAATATGGTCGCATGAGAAGCTGTCGTAGTGCTTGCAATTCGCCGTCGTAAACTCAACAATCATTGTAATTCAGCTACCAAAGTTCAGAGTTCAACTAGTTCAACTATTGCAAGCTAATCCAGACCACTGTTTTATATTTCTGACAACATCCCGCTTCCCAAATCCCAGCCCGACTGACAGATCCATCCCCTTCTTCACCAGGTTAGCGGGATCTCGACCGAGATCTTCCGCCAGATCGAGACCATCGAGAACGACATGGACGCGTCGACGGCGGCGGCGCTGCAGGCCGTCGAGAAGCGCGGCGAGATGCTCGTGCGCATCCTCGACCCCAACCGGCTCTCCAAGAAGGCCTTCGAGAGCGCCAAGCGCTTCCTCTCCCTGCAGGTGAGCCGTCGAAATCCCATTCTGTTCCGTCTATTAGTTAGGCTTATCGATTATAAAAAGTTTTTTTTTTCTGTGCCCCGGCAACCAGTTTTACGATGCACTTAGCCGCCAACTATTGACACTTTGATCTAATGAAGCACGATAATAAATGTGCACTGAATGTAAGCGACATACACCTTAGTCATAATCAATATATCATTTGAGCCACGCATAAACCGTTCTGTTTGCTCCCCCAGGACGGCCGGCACACGATCCAGTTTGTGGAAATTGTGAAGCGTCCCGGCCAGACGCTCGGGCTCTACATCCGCGAGGGGAACGGCGCCGACCGCTCCGACGGCGTGTTCGTCTCCCGGATCGCGCTCGAGTCGGCCGTCTACAACTCGGGCTGCCTGCGCGTCGGCGATGAGGTGCTCGCCGTCAACTTGGTGGACGTGACGCGCATGGGGCTCGACGACGTGGTCATCATCATGTCGATCCCGCGGCGACTGGTGCTCACCACGCGGCAGCGCCGGTTCCACCAGGGCGCCGAGAGCCCGCCGATGGCCCGCATTGAGCCTAAGCCGCCGCCCGTGGTCGTCATCAAGAAGGAACTCGAGGAGGAGGAGCCGGAGCGCGCGCCGCCGCCGCCCTCGACGGCGCCGCCGCCGCTGCCGCCGCGCCGGCAGCGCAGCGCCGACGACTCGCCGTACGGCTACACGCGCTCGATGGTGCACCGGGACCCGTCGGCGGCGGCCGCCTACCCGGACCCGTACAGCCGCGCGCGGCGCTCCCAGTTTGCCGGCGCCGCCAGCCGCAGCCTGCCGCCCAGCGACTCGTGGCACAGCGACGCCAGCTCCGTGACCTCGTACCAGCCGCCGCCGCCGGTGGTCACCGACCAGCCGCGCGGCTCGGCGCCCCTTTTCGCGCCCTACGAGCGCGGCGGCCCGCACCCGAAGACGCTCGAGTCGCTGGCGGAGCGCGTGCACGGCGGCCCGCTCGACTCTCTGGCCGGTAACGTGGAGTCTCTGTACGCGGCGGCGGCGCGTCGCGGCGGCTACGGCAGCTTGCCGCGCGGCGGGGGACACTACCGGGGCCGGGGGCGAGGCGCCGAGCGAGGCCGGGGGGTGACGCGCACCTACAGCGACCAGCGGCTGCCCCTGACCGACACTGAGCCGGCCGAGCTCTCCGTGCCGCCGGCCATGCGGCCCAACTTCAAGACCTCCTCGCTGCAGTACCCGCTGCGCTACACGGACACCATGAAGCGGCTGAGCGCCATGCGCCGCCGGACGGCCTCGCTCGACTACGCCTCGGACTCGGAGGCGGTGGCGCCGGGCCGGCCGCCGCTGGCGCACCGCACGCGGCCGCAGCAGCTGGCCGCTGCCGGAGGGCCGCGCAGCAACTCTCTGCCCCGGGACGGGCGCGCCGTGCTCCGCGGACGGCCGCGCTACGTCTCCGGCTACGGCTCGGCGGGCACGGCCGACAGCCAGGATGAGAGCGACGGGGCCGTCAGCGCGCCCGAGCTGCTCACCAGGAGAGGTGGGTCCCGTCGGACGGGTGTGGCGGACAGTGAGGCGGATGGCGGGGGAGAGCTCTTGTCACCTCTAAGGGAATTTATCGTGCAAACGGGCTTTGTGAGTCAGAAGTGCAGCTGACTTTTACCAACTCTTGCAGCTATTGATGCAGCCCAGTAGCTTCAATTTTCAATTAAGTAAATTCCTGTACATTCATTATTTTATCCCATGTAGATTAGCTCGTCAGTTTGACTTTTGACAAAAGCTACCCCAAACGTTAACCTTTTGCTCTCTTTTTTTTTTTGCTAACTAGTGACAGCCTCAATCCCAAAACACGTTTCGACGACTGGCTCCAGTTTCGTAACTCAGAAACTCGGAAACTGCGGACGTTGTGTTATTAAAATTCATGAGCAATCGCCTGTGCTCTGGCGCATACGTCCGACATATCGCCTGGCGCTCTCGAATGTCAGCAGCCACACATAGCCACCGTCAGATTGATGTCAGGAATAATTCAAACGGGCTGCGGCCGGCCGGCGCTCTCCGGCCGAGTTGAGCTCAGTTCCGGGGCCGGGTGCAGCTGCGGCGCCAGGGCGGGAGCAGCTGGAGCGGCGGCCCGGCCAGGCTCCGAGCTGGCGTGCGCTGCTCCCACCCCAGGGACAGATCATGCCGGCCGAATTAATTAAACGACTTCCAGAAGTTGCAGTGTCTCAGTCGCCTGCGCCCGGGAAGACGCCCGTCTGAAGAGCGGGTTCCTTGGGTAAACCTGCGGGAGATTTTTAATAATGTACGCCCCTGTCCACAGCCGGGCCGCCCAGCATGCGTCAGGCGGGAGCCGCGTACGGCGGGGGTCCGGCTGACGCCAGCCAGTGGCTCTCACGAGCGCCCTCCACCAGTGCCATCTACGAGCGGATCCGGTCGCAGCGGGACGCGGCCGGCCTGCCGCCCAGCCACCGCGGGGTTCGGTTCACCTTCAGCGCAGAGAACCTGCACGGGGGAGTGGAGGTGAGTGGGGAGTCTTCCGCCGAGCTGCCATCTAACAGTTTATCTCTCAGACTTGGTCAGATCTGTCTGATGCTGACCTCACTAAAATCAAGAGGACTTCCAACAGCGTTGAATCTGTGTTGCGGTTAACGATATATTCAGAGTGCTAGAAACTACATTAGAAATACAGTTTTGATACATTTGGCCTTGTCAGCAAAAAGGAAACCTCGTCAAAGAGGACGAATCACCTACATTACGGAGTTTGTTCGGTTGACTGCCTTCCAACAGCTCCTCAATCACCGCAGTCGGCGCCACCATTCCAACATTGTCGCGGTTGGCGTCAACAATGACAAACGCTCTAAATCTGTCGGCAAACGTTATTCAATGATGATAAAAGCGCTGTTAGTCGACACCATTGGGGCCCTTATAGAGCAATTCAATTGTCGCTAATGCAGTTGGACGTATTAGCGGAGCTGCGGGCCGGGAAACGAAAAGTCGACTTCCCACTTCTACATACAGAGCTAAACGAATAGTCATTTACGAGGTCTCCGAGTGTGCATTTATGTTCATTGAGAGAAGCTCTCAGTCGTCTGGCCACTATTTATTGTCGATCTCATGCGCTCATCTTGCAGCCAACCATCGATTAATAAGTCGGGGATGCGTCTCAGCACGGAAGTGAAAATGAGCACGAAGATACGAGTATAAATGAGCAGCATCTCCCAGTGACAACTCTGTCTCCGCGCCTCCCCGCAAGAGTGGTCACACTAACACTCCCCTCACCTCCCTGCAGGAGTCGCCGTACTACTCGTACCGCCCCCAGCTGAGCACGCTGCGGGCCCAGGCGCCGGGTATGGTGCAGCCCCGCCGGCCGCCGGTGGCCGCCGGGGCACCGGCGGACGCCGCCGGACCGCCGCTCTCACAGCGGCTGCGGTCACTGCTGGAGGAGCGCAGCATCACGCCGACCCCGCAGCCGGGCCAGGCGTCTCGGTTCTCCGTGCTCAACATCAACCCGGCAGGTGGGGACTGGTTAAAGAGGGGGGAGTAGGAGAAGAGTGGGAGGGAGAGGCCGAGAGGAGGAGGGAGGAGGGAAAGGGCCTGATACTGTCCTTATTTTATAAAAGGTCAAGAAGGCTTGTGCTCTGAGTGTCTCAGCCTGCTCAGCTGGCTACATCGGCAGCGCGCGAGAAGGCCTAAAACAACTTAAAATAACTTAAATAACTTTTCTGAGCAGTCGCAAAACATTCATATAGAGATCCATACGAAATATGTGCAATAGTTTTGACTACCACCTCTGATCGGTCGCTGACTGACGATATACCACCCCCTGCCCGCGCAGAGTTCCTGCGGTACAAGTCGGAGCGACCGTCCATGTCGAGCAGTGCCGAGGAGGGGCCCTCGGGGATGCTCTGGGTGCACCTGCTCTCCGGGCGCGGTCTGAAGCCGGCCGGCAGGATGCAGCACCTGCGCGACCTCTACTGCGTGCTCGAGTGTGACCACGTGCACAAGGCGCGCACGGTGATCCGCACCGGCGACCTGGTGTTCGACTGGGACGAGACGTTCGAGCTGGACCTCATCAACACGCGCGAGCTGGACTTCCTCATCTACTCGTGGGACCCGCAGTTCCGGCACAAGCTCTGCTACAAGGGCTCAGTGTGCGTGGCCACGCTGCTGCGAGAGAGCAGCGTCTACCAGCTGGCGCTCAAGGTGGAGCCGCACGGCACACTGTACGTCAAACTGCGCTACACCGAGCCCAAGCGGTGCTTCGAGCGGGCGCCCAACCCGCGCCGCTCGGCGTTGTTCGGCGTCGACCTGGAGACGGTGGTGGCGCGGGAGAACTCGGGTCTCAGCGTACCGCTGATCGTCAAACGCTGTGTGGACGAGGTGGAGCGGCGCGGTCTGGACATTATCGGCCTGTACCGGCTCTGCGGCTCGGCCACCAAAAAACTGCTGCTCCGAGAGGCGTTCGAAAAGAGCCCGCGCTCCGTCGACCTGTCGCCCGACAACGTGCCAGACATCAACGTCATCACCGGTACGTGAAAATAGCTAATATTATCTACGAGCGCGTCAAGTCTTTGACTCATGCCTCACGGCTAGTCGAACGGAAACAAATTCTATGGCATTTCAGCATAGACAAAAATGCATTTGTGCTTTTATTCGTTTCCACTGTCGGTTGTGTTCGTAGTTTAGATCACGGCTGAATTTTTTCTGTCTTTCTGCAGGTGTTCTGAAGGACTACCTCCGCGAGCTACCCGAGCCACTGTTCACCAAATGTCTGTATCAGATGCTTTGTGACGCCCTCTCCGTCTGTCTGCCCGACGACCCCGAGGGCAACGCCAAACTCATGTTCTCCATACTCGACTGTCTGCCAAAAATCAACAGGGTGAGACGCACAATGTGCAGAAAAGGATGGTTCAAAATTATTTAGGTGGAATTTCCAGCTTGCATAGTCCTTATGACAAGCATTGCCAAGTTCACAGTGCACGGACCGCGCAGCGCTCTTCGTGCGCTGCGGCACAGTATAACATGTCAGGCGTTTGTCGCCAACGCCATCTAGAAGCGAATAGTGAAAACACCACAGCGCGGCAGCTTGAATTGCATAGATCCTGCAGCTAATTTACAGATATACGTATGTCTTTTAGTGGCTGAAACGAGCCGACAGAACTATACACTGGGCGTGCATCTGATGGAATCTGAATAAGGAACAGCATCAGGTTTCAGTTCACTCTTCATCGAAGACCCGTCATGTTCATTAGTTTCACAGTAGTGAGTGTAAGCCGTCGTTTTGTTTCAGTGCACGCTGCTGTTTCTGATGGACCACCTGCGGCTGGTGGCCTCTCAGTCCGAGTGTAACAAGATGACGCCGCAGAACGTCGCCATCTGCTTCGGCCCGGTGCTGATGCTGCACTCGGAGATCGGCCGCACCGACATCGACTTCCACAAGCCCATCTCGGTGCTCAAGTACCTGCTCACCATCTGGCCATCAAAGTCAGGTAATGTTTGCGACGCTGGCCGCAGCGAGGTGGCCCCGGGCAGCCCGAACAGTGGAGTAGGTGTGAGTGATTGTCAGGGTCAGAGAAACGAACATAAATCGTTATAAAAGCATATCGATCGATATCAGGAAGACAACATCCCGCTTTGATTGTTACCAGCTGCCAAAGCGCACCGCCGAACTGTTTCATTGTCGTGCTTCCCTTGCTTTGCTCATTGCTGCAATGTTATTTCTTCTGATATTTTCAGCACCAATTTTCTTGCATCATTGCTTCATAAAAACACAAGTGGGATTCTTTACCTAAGCTAGTCACGTTTGAGGTTACGGAGTGCGATTTTTATGACTTCATTGAGAAACAACAATTATTATGGGTTTAAATGTGCTGCTTTTCTCATGTGTATGCCTTTCTCGTTTTGAACGTACCGTTTCTCATTCAGAGGAAAACCAGTTCGATAGAATCGTCGCTCTTTGCCAGTATCTGCACGCTCACTATTGCACAGTCACCGCCTGCATTTGGATAGTCGCTGCATTACTGGCATTGTCTGATGCACTCACCGTGTCCTTTCCTGCAATATATGTAGCAGGGAGATGTCCGTACCGTGCGCTGTATCACGTATCACCGCTTCCACGCCTGGGAGGCGCTCTCCTCACCGCAAAGCACAGAGAGCGCCCCCAAAGGTGCTTCTTGATTCTTTTACTGGGCCGTTTTCCAGACAGTTCGGGAAGCAGCGGCAGCGACAGCAGGACCAGCTCGTCGCTCTCGTCTCTCACCACGCCCCCCTTCGTCGGCGCGGCGGGACGCGGCGCAGGAGCCGGCGGACCGCTCCGACCCAGCTACTACCGCCACCGACAGTGGCTCAGAGAGTCGCGATTCCTCCCCGAATCAACCTGCTGACACGCGCCCGCCGGCCGGCCGGCCGCCGGCGCCGCCGCCGCCCGGTCAGCGGCCGGCGCTCCCTCCGCGACCTCCGGGCCGGGTCCGCTCCCGGCACCCCTCCCGCAGCGAGGAGCCCGACCTGGGCTCCAGCGCGGGACCGCGGCCCGGACCCGGCTCGGGAGCGGGACCGGCCGGCGCGCCCAGCCAGCCCTTCCCCGGCCCGCCCGCCGCCCCCAGCTACATGCGGCCAAAGTCGGACGTGGATGTCGGCGGTGGTCGAGACGGCCGGGCCACGCCGGCCGAGAGCGGTTACGCCCGCGAGGGACGGGCCACGCCGGCGGAGGGTGGCTACACCCGGGAGGGACGGGCCACGCCGGCGGAGGGTGGCTACATCCGGGTCGCGCCGGCGGAGAGCGGCTACACCCGGCCGCCACCGCCCGCGTACCCCGGCTCCGGCGACCCGTACGGACGGAGCACGCCACCGCAGTACGGGCGCGGTCAGGAGGCCCGGCCTCGGCCACCGTCCGGCTCAGAACCGACCATCGGCGGCCGCGAGACGCACGAGGAGCTCATGAAGGGCGTCATCTCGGAGCTCCAGAGCAAGCGGCTCTCGGCGCGCAGCCTGGACGGCGACGGGGCGCCGGCCGACCGCGACCAGCGCCGCGAGCAGGAGGAGGAGCGGGAGGAAGAGGAGGAGGAGGAGCGGTTAGATCTCACGTGAGGCCGAGCCGAGCCGCCGCCGGCGCCTAGCAATAACGCGATTCCAACTACAGGGTAACGGGGGCCCGGCTGCTCGACGGCGAGCGCCGGGCCACCGGAGACGGGCGCAGCTGGCGCCCAGTATGCATCCCACTGCCAATTGTGTGCGGTCCGAGGTGGCGCGACGCGACTTCCAGAATATCAGTTCCTGGGGCGCCTCTGGGAGCGGCGCGCCGCCTGGTGGCTGACAGCCGAAACTGTAGTTCGGTACCCGGCCGCCAGAGGTACCGCAGTGCGCCTCTCCGACGACCTCACTTCGTGTTGATAGCGCCTGTGTTAGAGGCGAGATATCTCTTGGATGCATTTCGTATCGATAAATGGAACTTTTACCGCATCATGCACCGAACATTGTCCAAATTTGTCCCGCATGTCAGGTAACTGTAGGAAGTTGGCTGCGGTCAGAGCAGAGTACCGGTAAATTTCGGTTATGTTCCCCTTGAGCGGCGCAGCACCTCCATCCACCGTCACAACTGCCAAATACTCAGTGTCGGCGCCCGTATAGTCCATGTCGTGCACGCACTGCCTTGTTGTTACGATGTAGCCAGAGAGGCGGTCGGTCGGCCGGCCGCTTCGTTAGGTAGGGACGGGGATTTAACTGCCGGTCAGCGGGTGGGTCCAGCGCCGTGGCCAGGCGGCCCCGCTGGGTGACCAGCCTCAGAGGCCTGGGCAGTGTTCACGGGCAAGTGTCGGGTGCCGCATACCTTTCCTCAGAGCCCGGTAGAGGCGTGTGTTCGGCGTCGTACGCGCGTCGATCTTTTGCTCTTTTGTAGTTCTGTTACGGTAGCGTGCTGGCCGGTTTTTATAGCGTTTTGTAAGCCCTTCTCTCGAGCTGCGCCTGCTGTTGGCGAGTGTGGGTCTGTGGTGGTGTGTTGCCGAGTGAGTGTGACCCGGGGATGTCGCCGGCGGGGACGCGCTGATCAGCTGTCGATTTCTGAAAAATTGCGCAGCACAGGTACAAAGTGACAAAGGCGATCGAGAAATTAGCTGAATTGTAATGTCGCAAAACGGAGAAAAGTGATTGCTTTATACGAGAGAGACCTCAGGCTGCACCACACCGGTATCAAATGTGCGTACGTAACCGACGGATGGCAAATGTCCGCGTTTTTGTCACTTTGTTGCCAGCTCCACGTGGTGACAACTCTTGCCGCCCAGTTTCACATCACGGCGTGTTGGTCAGTGCTCGTTTACTGTGTATGTACTATCTTGAAGCCGCAAACCGCGTGCGTCCCGGCCGCTATGCGCCGCGCGGCCGGTGCTCGGCGGCCTGCCGGCAGGGTTCGCCGTTCGACACCCTGCAGGGAGCGTCCGCCGCAGGGTAACTCAATGGGCGGCTCCGCTCTCTGCCGCCGACGCAATGTGCTTTGACATATCCTGGATGGTGATGCTGCCTTCTGTACTATTTTGTAACGTCGTTCGCCGACTCGACTTTCTGAAGCGCGCGTCGCGATGAGTTCGATGTGTGATGATGTCTACAAATAATCATGTCCAAACGCCACTGATGATCTGCCGCTCTGTTCTGACGCCGTAATCAGTTTGTTTCGTATGCTCTGTGCAGAATCAGCTCAGTAGCTTCCCATCCATCGGTTGCATCCCATGACTGGCTTTATACCGTGGCAGCTCATATACCTTTGAGTTTTGTTGTTGGCGAAGATCGTATATATGCGAAGGCCAGTTGACAAGAGTGGATGTATGTAAAATAGAGCAACATAAGTGATCTAGCTGGTTTGATGAGATGTGTTCTTTGGTAATCCTGCCCGTTTGGAGGAAGACGATCATGCGACCCGTCTGCTTTCAGTTTGATCGCTGTAAGATGGATCGAATCGGCTCGCCGCACTTCGAATGTCACAACTGCCTACAAGGAAATTATGTACCATAGCCTAAGACAGTCAATAGGTTACCGAAACAATTCTTGTCACCAAAGTCCCAAAGAGTTAAAAAAAAACATTTGCCTTCCCCGGCAGTAGGAAAACTGGTAGCATACTCGTTCGTCACAACCCACTCGATAGGCGTTATCACAAGTGTATTCGCGGCCATTGGGGCGACGTAAGAAAAGAAGAAAACAACTGGCCCCAAGAACTTTAAATTATCAGTTAGCATGCACCTTTTCCTTCATGTGTAGATAATTTGCCATCAATTGTTAGCGAAAATTGCATTTAAAATCTTCCATTTATGCTTTTTTAATTGTTTGCACAATATGTTCTTTTACTAAGCTAGAAACAGTAATTAGAAATAGTTCCGGCATCATCGTCAAGAACAATAAGGAAGGCTTGAAGTGAATACAGTAATCTTTCAATAAATTCTGTTCAATAAAAAAATATCAACTTTTTTACAAGACGGATGTCTTTAGGAATCTATTTAACGTGTGACAACTCAGCCGGTATTTCGTCGCCTACATCCCAGCTTTCCCTAGTGACCGATAGAGGCGCTGCTATCGATGTCCGCCCGTGCCGCCTAACGTGTAAGCAATCGCTTAAGTTTTAGTCCGGCCGTAGGTAAAGTTACTGCAATTAGACGTCTTGCTTTACCAGGGTCACAACCAATAGGAAAGTTTAAAAAAAAACAATATGATGAAGAAATGAGCATCACGATATTTTCATGTTTGTTTTTAAATAAAGCGACGCGTCGAAATTGTTAAATGAAATGTTTAACCAGAGTTGTGATGGTGGTCCAATCGCAACAATTCGAAGCGTTGGCCTCGGCGTTTTCACGCCGCCCCTCCCCCGGTCCCCCTATATAGTCTTGTGGGTCATAAAGCCACAAGCAGTACCTAAAAGCTGCGGTCAGTGTGGGTTATATGTGAAGAATAAGCATCGAAGCTGTTTTTATAAAATTTGATATTTATTGAAAAATTGGGCAGAACTGCCAAGTCCCAAACAGATGATGTTTCCGCATCGCCAACAAAATCCATAAATCTCTGTAAGCTCTTCTGTGGTCTTAAGGCCGGGCTCCACTACGCGTTTTTTCCGTGCGTTTTATCCGAGACATCGGTTTTTGCGTGAAATCGTTCCCGAAAAAAGTTCGCATCATTGCTCAACATTGGGCAGGCTACACTGGGAACGATGTCACGCAAAACACGACAACTTGCAAATTCCGTACCGATTTTAAGGAAATCTCGGTAAAACGCATGACGATGTCACGCAAACTCGGAAATCTCGTACCTATAAAAAGTTCAATTATTTGAACTTTTCATCGTTTTTTGCGTGATCTCGGCCGGGAGACATGACTTGCGCGCTGCGGCAAACAGTGTGAATGTAATTTTGTGTTGTTTTTGACGTTGTTAAATATGTTTTCAATTATTGTGTTGAAGCTAGGAAATTTTTGTAGAAGTGTTTTTAGTGTAAAGAGGATGAGTGAAGGTAAGAAATAATAAACATAGCAACCCTACATATTTCATTTTGCGCTTAAAGCAGTGTCAATGCAGGGGCAAATGGTTTTAATTCAAATAGAAATTGGGGCAGTGGTGATAGGTTGGTTCGAAATTAAATGAACTAGCTGCAATGCAGAAATTTCAGCTCAAAATTGCTTGTGTTGAGTTTCGGCGTATGAGGGTATCACGGGCGTCCAGCTAGTGTATGGATGTTTTCCAGTCTGGTGCATTGCCATAGGTAGGCGGAATGTTAAAAATAAAAAAAAAATCCCTTTCCCTCTTCAGCCACCAGTGGCTAGCTATGAAACAAGTTATGTATTCAAGCAAGTTTATCATGGGTGCAAGGCTAGCAACATGTGCAAGACACTTCAGCATCAAATTCCGCTCAATTTTGTCATTTGTGCCCTTCAAAAAATAAACAGGTACATCAAAAGGAATGTACACAGTAATTCGTATTCGTTTCGGGCTACACTGAGGTAAAAATTGTTATAACAATTTTTAACAATTTTTTACCTCAGTGTAGACCGAAACGAATACGAATTACTATCATTTACCAGAGGAAGATTAGAAATGACACTTCGTCAATACCTGAGGAATGTACACGCCGAGCACAGAGGCTCCGGCGTGAGAAAGCCCAGCCTTGTGCCGTGCTGCCATCCACTTGCTTGCTGAACATGAACTGGGTGCGGGTGAAGATTGATTGGTGCCGGTGGGTCCATTCTGCTATGCAACAACCTCTGCTTAGTGGGCACCCGGGCTCAAAGCCACCCACTCAACCCTTCAGACAAATTTTATAAAAGTTTGGCTTACTTTTTATTAAATGTACCTACTTGCAAAACACCTTCTTTATAGGCTCAAAATAAACAAAGTGTGATTTTCCACGTAGTGGAGCCTGGGTTTAATGACAACAATAATGTCACGTGCTTCAGGATGACAAGCAAAAAACGATATCACGCAAAAACCGACAAATTGCAAAACCGATTTCACGCAAAAACCGATGTCTCGGATAAAACGCGCGTAAAAAAACGCGTAGTGGAGCCCGGCCTTTAAGGCCGGGCTCCACTACGCGTTTTTTTCCGTGCGTTTTATCCGAGACATCGGTTTTTGCGTGAAATCGTTCCCGAAAAAAAGTTCGCATCATTGCTCAACATTGGGCAAGCTACACTGGGAACGATGTCACGCAAAACACGACAACTTGCAAATTCCGTGCCGATTTTAAGGAAATCTCGGTAAAACGCATGACGATGTCACGCAAACTCGGAAATCTCGTACCTATAAAAAGTTCAATTATTTGAACTTTTCATCGTTTTTTGCGTGATCTCGGCCGGGAGACATGACTTGCGCGCTGCGGCAAACAATGTTAATGTAATTTTTGTTTGTTTTTGACGTTGTTGAATATGTTTTTAATTCTTGTGTTGAATATAGGAAATTTTTGTAGAAGTTTTTTTTTTAGTGTAAAGTGGATGAGTGAAGGTAAGAAATGATAAACATAGCAACCCTACATATTTCATTTTGCACTTAACCCGCGCACCGACGGGGGGGGGCGGATATCCGCCCCCCCCTGAGGTTTTTCGCGGATAGCGGGAAAACCGCGG